CAATATAATGATGCATGAAATATGAAATGATGGAGGGAACAAGGAATGGTGTAGCAATTGAGTGCTATGATTCAATGTAATGATGCATGAATCTGAAATGATGGAGGGAACAAGGAATGGTGTAGCAATTGAGTGCAATGATATAATGTAATGATGCATGAAATCTGAAATGATTGAGGGAACAAGGAATGGTGTAGTAATTGAGTGCAATGATACAATGTAATGATGCATGAAATCTGAAATAATGAAGGGGACAAGGGTGATTATGCATGGCATGGGTGGAAAGGTGAGTAAGTGGTGAATCAATGAGTGCAAGGAGGTGAGAGGATATTGTACACATGGTAGACAAAGGAAAAGAAGTGGAATGATGCAACAAATGAGTCAATGGAGGGAACATGGATGATGATGCACGACATAGGAATCCAAAGGGAGTGCAATGGTGGTGCACGGCAATGATGGAAAAGTGAATGGTGGAATGACACCCCTTTGTGGCTGAGCTCTTTGTTCTTTTTACATTAATTCTTCTTTCTCTTTAACACATTCCTAGCCTCTTTAGTCTTCAATTTCATCCATCCACCTTGCTCCATGCATGTGATATTCATTCCAAGCCCAAAACTGCTCCAAAATGCACCAAAATGCATCTTATTGATTTATAAGGCCTATGGACCTACAAACACACGAAAATAGCTTAAAATACATAATTAACTAAGAAATAACAACATAAATGCATGAGAACAAGCTAACTCAGTCACATAAATATGCTCCTATCAATGCCACACACAAAAGTAATAGAAGAAAAAAACACAGCAAACATGCAGAGCTATAAACAATCAACCTAAACAAAATTAAGAACCAAACATATGAGTGAATTGTTTCCGCACCTCAGAATCGCTTCGACTTTGTAAAATTTGGAGTCTGGGACATAACCTACGAGCAACCAACAATATGGAGTCAGAAGCCATGCCAAAATTTAAAATTTAAAATCCAAGATACCCAAATCATAATTTGAATGGAATATGCAATAACATTGAAAACCCATGAACCATTTTTCCAGAAAATGGGAAGAAGACGAACCAGAAGAACTTTGTGCTCGTAAGACCGGAACAATGGACACATTTGTTGCGTGCTTTAGAGCGATATTGGGCTAACATAACCTAAATTTTGCGAGCTTGGTGTGGATCAAGGTCTAACCCAAAAACGGAAGCTTGTTGAGATGGCAATGGAGGTGCGGCTGACTCCGAATTCGAAGACTTCCACGACGGCGATGAAATATTGATGAGGACCACGACTCCTCACTCTTTCTCCGACTCGCACCTGCCCTTCCCTCACCAACAACTCCTAAACCGACGCACCTTCTTCCCATGATCCCTCCTTATCGAACTTGGATCCCAACGCGATTTCTGATTCAGGCTCTACATCCACCGATCTTCCCAAACCTGACCCACCCCCTCCCTTGATCCCTCCTTACCAGACCCCAATCTTCCTAAACCTTCCTCCATCGCGTGCAGAGGGTTTCTACTAGGGGATTCTGGTGATGATGGAGCTCAAGCGCCTCCATGATTTGTCTGGAGAATGTAGGGAGAGAAAGAGGGGTTAGAGAGAGAGAGATAGAGAGAGAGAGAGAGAGACAAAGGTGAGAAAAAGAATCTGAGAGAGGCAGAGCGGAAGAGGAAAGTAAAGGGAAAGAGATAGACGGGACCCAAGACGGAATTAGGGTAGAATTTTAATTATTATTATAAGAGTTAGTGGGCACAATTGTGTAATGCGGTGGTGGAAATTCAAGATTTTGAATTTGGTGGTGGGAAACCCAAACTTGCACCATAAAATAGAAGGAGAAGTCCAATTTGGAGAAGGGGAAACTTAATATAAATCCAATTTTATAAGCTTGTCACTCCCCGATCCCAACATATGTCTTGAATCGACACATGATGTCATCAAATATTTGTACGTCTATCATACCCCATCTCTGGGATATGGCAAAGCACAACTCGAGCATCGATTCGCAAGGATTTTTTTTTTCTTCCTGATTTCTGATTGGTTGCTCAACCCCCCCCCCCCACCCCCCCCAAACCCCCCCCCCCCCCCAAAAAAATTCTGATTGGTCCTCCCTTTGGCCTAAATGGCCTCTTTCCCACAAGGTATATTCCTTTAAATTTATAGTTTAGTGAAACGACTTCAAAAGTCCGTAACTATACCGTTATAATCCAAACTTGCGTTCGTGGTCTCGAGATCTATTTGAAAACATCAATTGTGAACTCGAAAGGTCAACGAATTTTAAAGATTGATTACGAAAATTCAAACCTGATAGTTATTCGATTTAATTCCAAAATCAACGGAATTAAAATTAATTAATGAAAATAACATAAACGTGAAATACAATACAAATTTAAATAATGAGATATGTAATTAATAGTGAAATTCCGGGGATGGGATTTCACAAAGCCATTATTAGTTATAGTCCAATTTTGTTTTAATTTTGAAGTTCTATCGAAGGTTAATTGTGTTTAGCATGATAAAAGGCTTGTGTGTCAAACTTGCGTTGTTCTTTTATTTTTTTTCTTTTTTCTTTTTTTTTTTCTTTTCTATATGAACCAGATGGGAAACATAATTATAAACCAAAAAACATACAATGCCAGGAGTATCTATATCATGGGCCAATTAGAAAGAAAACATTATTATATTGTAATACTACATAAGTTGATAAAGGGACCCAAGAGGAGTCCAGCATAGCATAAGATAATTATAATTTCACACACCAGTGAAATATAACATAATACAAAATATATAATTGTCCTCGTCAATGCTGCTTAAAATCTCAACGGTAACATTCTGCATATTTCGTGAGCTCATATGTGGGAGAGATAGGCCTCTAGGACGAATTTGTGCTTGATAAGTGTGTGGTTCTTCAATAATAATGACAGAACTAGTAGACTCTTCAGTTGTTGTTTCAACAGAAACCAAATTGACAGGGTGTTGTTCTGTCCTACATGGGCTTGCCCATGCTGGCAATACACATCCTTGAGGTGCGCTTACGCATCCGTTATTGGAGGGCAATGCGTAGCCAAGGCGACCATCAACAGTAGTAAGAATGTATTGATTATCAATAGAACGAGGTATGCGCCCGGCATTAACAGGTTGTCGTGGACGTTGAGCTGGAGGATTTGTTGTGGAATTTGCTGTTGTAATGTTGGAAGCAATAGAAAAATGTGATGCTAGAGATTCGGTTCCAATTCTAACTCCACGACGTCGCATGTCCGCCATTCTCAATTATGTACTTGATCAAATTCAAAAGAAACACAAGTGTATGAAGCAACCTTCTAAATTTCCATATACAAATTAGTAAGGGACTGTGGACGTTTTATACTAGAATAAAGGCACAAATTCATAATTGTGCCAACATATTCTTTTGCTATAGAGTGATTTATTATTTATTAATATTTACTGGACATAATTTCTAACATTTGTGTCAGAAAAAGGATTATAATTATTAAGATATATTCTCTATTTGAAGACCCAATGAGAAGTAGAGTGATTTATTATTTATTAATATTTAGTGTACACAATTTCTATCATTAGTGTCATAAAAAGGAATATACAATTATTAACTCATTTGTCTATCTGAAGACCAACTAACTTTTGCACAGAGACCGACCCTAAAGGCATAATTGTTGGTTATGTGTCACTGCATGTAAGACTTTTAATACAGTAAAAAAATAAGCACTTACTATAAAACCAAATACCATATCACCAAGTATAGAAAACAAACCTGCAGGAAGATAACAATCTAAAAAGCAGTTCAAAAGATATGAATCTAACAAACATTCATTTGCACCTGGAAATGATCCTTTGTAAATCTAAAAGACGCCACTTAGTACTACGATGTAGTGGTATTCTTCTTTACTTGTAAGTGAGAGATCTGAGGTTCGGCTTTCGCAAAAAACGAATTTGAACAACATTATTGCTAACTTATTTTGAGGCTAAAATATTGCACAATAATAAACAGCTCCATACCATTATTTACCACAAATTTATAAATTTTAATTATTGGTGTGCTAAAGGAGGTAAAGACAAACGAGAGAGAACATATAGTGCCTCTAACAAATAATTTTTATAGACAAATTTTTTTGTGCCCATTTTCAGTAAAAAAAAGTTGTCATCTGACCCCACTCGGCACGATTTCCGTGCCCATTACTGTTTTGTGTCAGCTTTTTTTAACATTGGGCACAATAGATGGTGCCCTCTATGGAATGGGAACTGTTTAAGCTTTTTGGTGGTCAAACTGACACAAAATTCTCAATTGTGTCCTTTGTTTTGTACCCAAAACTCATTTTTCTTGTAGTGATATTATTAAATACTCAACTCAGCTTTTTATTAAAGTAGTTTTTAAAAGCAGTCTGTCTAGAGGTTATTGCTTTTAAAATAAGCATGATATTTTACTTTTATCAAACACTTTTTTACTACTTAAATTTAAGGTAAAGCGGTTTCTAGGAAATAAAAAATCAAAAATCAAAAATCAAACGGCGGCACATAAGGCACAAACAAGCATATTATAATCAGTATCGAGAAAAATCTGGTCTATATATAGCAAGTCCTTAATTCATATATGCAAAATAGGCAATATATTTTACTGAGACATTGAGAATCCAATCCAATCGGATTCAAACGGCACATAAGGCACAAACAAGCATATTATAATCAGTATCGAGAAAAATCTGATCTGTATATAGCAAGTCCTTAATTCATATATGCAAAATAGGCAATATATTTTACTGAGAAATTAAGAATCCAATCCAATCGGATTTAGGTATGATATAATACTATAAATGAATGATATTGAATAAAACAATATATATGCTGAAAAAGGAAAATTAGGGTTTTGACTCAATTAATTGATAAACCTAAACCCTAAAACACCAGTCCTATAAATAGACACTCGTTTTCTTCGATTCTAATCTCACTTCAATATTCAACCTTGTTAAAGTCTTGAAACAAGAAAAAAAATGGCTTCTGCTAATAAGTTTCACTCATGCCCGAGCGTTCCGATGCTATTGGTTCTCTTCTTCCTCGTGATCAATATCACTCCATCCTCGAGCCAAGACACCCAGCAACTGATCGATCATATTTGCAGGCAGATGGAGGAGTACGGATTTTGCAGCCAAACCTTCAAAGAGAACTTGAAATCTCCAAACTCCGATATCGTCGCCCTCACCCAAATAACCATAGAGCGTGCCACAGACAATGCCACCAAAACGCACGACTTTATCAGGCAACTGCTTGACAACACAACCGACATAGCATTCAAAAACGCCCTCACTGCATGTGAGAATGGTTACCGTGTAGTGATGGAATCGTTCGATTCGGCTGCAGTGTCGTTTTTCCAGAAGGATTACGACAGTGTGGAGAAGGCTGAGAGGGTGACGCCGAGAGCAGAATCCAGCTGCGAAGAATCGCTTAGCACACAGCCTAATACTCAGAATCCGTTGAATGATAGAAATAGGCAGATGAGGATTTTGATTGCTATGGCTTTGGTTTCTGCGCATGAACTAAGTCAAGCATAACTAGAGGCCTCTATGATAATGCTTCTAAACCCTAAACCCTAGCTAGCTCTTGGTTATAGAAAGAAGAATATAGTAATTTTGGTTTGTTGTTTTTCCTTGCTTCGGTTTTTTTTCTTATTCAAATTGTTTGGCCGTAGTTATGCATGCGATTGACACAAAGATAGCAAGAAAATAGGTTATAATAAAGGGATATGAGACTTGTATTATTCTCACCTATGATATGATTGATTGATGTTAAATATGATGAAAGTTTAGTTTCATTTATTATAAAAACAATTGGTAATATGAGGAGTAGTTAAACTTTTTTTAAGCTCTTACAAGATTTACCTTCACATCCTCACACGCTTCCCTACGTACGGCAAATTTTCAAGCTAAACACGTGAACAACACGAATTGCGACTTGGAACATGTGTAGCTGTTGGGTTTAACAAGTGGACCAACATGCTTTGATATCTTAAAAAACGTTGGTGTTCCACTATAAACCAATTGCAATATGAAGAGTGGCCCATCATTTTCTAAGTCCTCATAATATTTCTCCCTTTCCTTTACCCTCAATGAGTCAAATGATATGATAAAATAATTTTCTCAAGAAATTAAGCAAAGTGTTTGGTTTTCAGTTAAAAAAATAATTGAAAACTGAAAATCAAAAAGTGAAAAACTCAAGAAGGCAGTTTATAATCTTTTGATTGTAGTTACTTACTGGAGGAACTCAGGGAAAAGGAGAACGCTTCTGTCTGACTTTTAAGTTTTTAGAAAGAAACTGGAGTAACTCGGCAATGGAGTTTTCGGGGAAGGGCCTACTAAGGCGGAGATGGAAGAGGTAATATGCTGCAAGCATTACTTTGAGTTCAAACTTTAGTCTCAAAGAGAAGATTTTAGATTTCACGCTGACCTAGCTAAGAATTTTCTCTAGAATGTGATCTCTTAAGTAGTATAAACTTGATTAACTTCTTAAATCCGTCCGCGTATTATGGTGAATATCTTATCCAAGCTAAACCTCTATAACAACTACAGCATTTATACATTATTTTCTTGTACAGCCCACCTGAATGCATCATCAAAATCCCAATTTAACCAGAACGCAGAAACACATAACTGCCGTTGTATTCTTAACTGGAAATGAATACGTAGACATTTGGGATTGAAAGTTGAATTAGTCGATGCTTATATCTGATTGATTACGCACACCAAAGTCGAGGTGAGCTCAAACCGTACAAAACACATTGATTGTAAACTACAGATACCATACAAGTTCTCAGGCAGATCATCGGGCCAACAGCCACACAAGAACAAATTCAAAAGCAAATTATCGGGCCAACAATGCAACACGATCCTTCTGTACTGCCTGTGTTAAGTTGGTATCAAAGAGCTCGCATCGTATAGGCATCTCCATCTCGTAGAAGGGATTCTTCAAGACATAATCCGTGTACAGCTCATAGATATGTTTCAAGAGACCTTCCATGTGCTGTGTCCCAGGCTCAGAGACAACAAAGAATTTTGTCCCTGCAAATAGTGAAATTATATCATCACTTTCACAATCCAAGACATTGTAAAAATTTCCAGTAAAATTTTTTCTTCCCAGGATAAATTGAACAGCCACAGGAAAAAAGAAATTGAGACCAACATCCTGTTCGATAAGAAAGTCCCAATTCAAAAGGAAAAAAAGCGAAGCCTAAAATAACAGACTCAATTACTCTAAAAACAGAAACAAGAAAACTTGTCAACACTGACACAAACAGTAACTTCGTGCTGAACAATTTCTAAACCAGGCAGATGGACCCGAGTCGACATCCTAGATACTAAACCAACTCATTCGCCTTACAAAATTCAAGTATAGGCAGTTGTCAAGATGTGTAATATGTACAGTAAGCTTGTATCATTAGAGCTACTATTTGCTTATGAAGAAAAACAAACGAGTAAAATGGTATCCTAGCAGAAAGTACAGAACTCACAAAATCCAATATTCACTACAATAATATTACGCAAGTCATAGCGGATTGCTAGATATAGAAACTACAAGGAGCAAAACAAAAGGTTTCACCCTTTCGATAACCAGAACAAAGAAGATCCTAATTATGTGGAAATTGATAACATCACACAAGATCATGTAGAGGAAAACACTTGTCCATAGCCCATCTTCAAAATACAGAACCACAAGATAGATGTTGCCGTTGACACCAAATGGCTTACAAGAAAGCACCACCATTAGTTGTGTCAGTTAACAGATCAACTCACTCAATCCCAATATTTAGCAGTCACCTCACTTGCAAAACTCTCATTGTGTACCCATCTTCCAAATTACAGAACCACAAGATATAAGTTGCCTAAATCGTACACTAAATGGCTTATAAGAACACTGCCATTCAACTTGCTCGATGACAATATTTAGCATTCACCTCAGTTATGAATTTATTCCCCCAACCCCCATAATAACTATCATCCGCTAGATTACAACGTAAAGTGGTCCTAAACTACTGCAATGCACAACATAACTCACAAGTAGGACTAGCAACAGATAGATAGCCAATTTATTCGCGATACAAACTCGTTTATCCTTCGAACACAACTTAAGCTCACCCAATTCAAAGCCATACTAACTTTAACATCTACATTCTACACAAAACTTACAATCTGCAAATTCGAAATCAATTAAATTTAAGTGAGACTTCAAAATTTCAATTGAAAATTGGTTGTAAACACAAATCTTTCTAGCTCGCTGACCACAAAATTCACCAAATTTTGCCAATGTGACCAAAACCCATTAAATTACACTACAAATTCTTAAAAAAGAGAAAAAGGTAAAAAATTTGAAACGTACCAGTGAGTGATTGGAAGCAATTAAGATCGAAAGTGTCAGCTTGGAGGAGTTCGATTCCGAAACAGCCCGATACCGGCGACAGCTGCTGAGAAATGGCGTGCATCGAGTGCCACAAGCTCGCAACCCTCAAGGTATCGTTAGTGTCCATCCTTCCCGCCGACCCGTAATCCTAAATTTGTTCCAAAAAAAAAACAACCAAAATTCGTTAACTTTATGTTCGGTTGCTGAGAAAACAGAGGAAAATAAATGAGAAAATCGAAATCTCTAGGGTTTTGTTACCTTGTAGTAGATCAAGCCGCCTGATTTGTTGATGATGTAGAGACTGTAAATTGCTGCCATTTCCAAGGGCTATTTCGGAATCCAAAACAAGTATACAGAAAGAAGAAGACGAAGAAGAGGCTAACTGATTACAAGGGGGAGAAAAACACCTTCAGTCCAGATTCAGGGGTACAGGAGAGAGACTTGTGCGCGTGGCATCACCAACCAATATCGTGATGCCATGTGTAGGAGTTAAAACTAAGATGTTGGGAAACAAAGAGAGAGGATCCTTGCCCGAGAGGATTCCGGAGATCCTCTAATCACATTCATTCATTGTATATCGTACGGGTCAGTTTTTATTTGGTATTGTTCATATTCAATTTTAAATAAAAAAAATTTACAATGATTTATGACCGCACAATGTACAATTAATGAATGTGATTGGAGAATTCCCGGGATCCTCACAAAAAGAAAATAAACTCAGATATGTTATATAGTCTTATACATCGTATTTAATTTTTTCGGTTGTTTCAATTTGATTCATTCAATTTAATGACAAGAAATTTGAATTAAAAGACTTCATCTACAACAAATAAAAAAAGTGTGTGAAATTAAAATAAACGTTTTCATTATTGGTTAAATTATTAAAAGGGTTTCGATTAATCTCAATTTTTATAAAAGTAGTCTATAATTCGATTATAAATAATATTGCGGGCTGCATTTAGTTAAATGGTTAACGGTTTATTAAATTACCAACTAATTATCGCTCTACTCCTTGTAACAACAATGGCATCCCAAGATTTTGAGTGCGTGTGACCAAAAGATCGCAGTATGTTACACACTGTTCTATGAAAAATTAAAAAGAAAAATTAATGAAAATAACTTGAAAACTTTAAGTTTTAACGATAAACACAAAATAAAGAGTAAAGTGAAAAGTATCATAATTGACTTTTTAATGTAAAAATATAATTTTTTATTAAAATGAACAGTATCAAAAACTTTTCGTTAAAATTCTTAAATTAAAACTCGAAGCATGTCATAGTTTAATGCCATAGTTCTTGTGATCCAGTTACACAACCCAAAAAAGGGTCCGACCCGAATCAATGCCCGGATCCGGAGCCTCCAAGTTAGTTGGCCCCGAACCCTTATTTGGTTGTGTGAGTTGCAACGTGTCTGCTTTTCGTTGGAGGACATGGCAAACTACCAACTACCAAGTTCCGAGTTTGTGACTGGGAACTGTCCACGCCTCCTCCACTGAGTCGACTTTCAAACTCGTCCATTGCCGAAAGCTTTAAAGACTCCGTCCCGTTCATGTCACCACACACTCTCTCTCTCTTAATCTCATCTCTCTCTCTAAAAATCATCGACAATGGGTGTGAATCCAAACTCCGAGCCGTCGATCGAGATCAACGGCCTAAAATTCACCTACCCAGGAATCAACGGCCACCCGCCGCCGGGCTCCAAGCCGCTGATCGAGGACTTCAATCTCACCCTCAATGCCGGCGACCGATGCCTCCTCGTCGGATCCAACGGCGCGGGGAAAACCACGATCTTGAAGATCCTGGGCGGCAAGCACATGGTCGAGCCCCACATGGTTCGCGTGCTCGGAAGGTCGGCGTTTCACGACACCGCCTTGACCGGCTCCGGCGACCTCTCGTATCTCGGCGGAGAGTGGCGGCGAGATGTCGCATTCGCCGGGTTTGATGTCCCGATTCAAATGGACGTTTCGGCCGATAAGTTGATCAATGGGGTTGCGGGGATCGACCCACAAAGGAGAGCAGAGCTGATAAAGGTTTTGGATATTGATCTTTCATGGCGGTTGCACAAGGTGTCCGATGGTCAGAGAAGACGAGTGCAAATCTGTATGGGTCTGCTCAAGCCATACAAGGTACTCAATTTCCATGTTTCACAGTTTTGATGATGTTTTTTTTTTATGCACGCCACGTGTTTGATGATTTGTTTCTCAATCCAAATAGGTTCTTCTGCTAGACGAGATAACGGTGGACCTCGATGTGCTAGCAAGAGCTGACCTTCTCAAGTTCTTGAGGAAGGAATGCGAAGAGCGAGGCGCCACGATCATTTATGCTACGCATATATTTGACGGGTTGGAAAATTGGCCCTCGCATATCGCTTATGTTGCGAATGGGAAGTTGCAGCTAGCAATGCCAATGGAGAAAGTTAGGGAGATCTCCAAGTTGTCACTAATGGTGAGTCAAAGGTTTAAATTTTATTTGTAATTGTATGATTCGACACACTGAGATTGGATTTGGGTTTGGTTTGCAGAGGACAGTCGAGAGTTGGCTGAGGAAGGAGCGTGAGGAGGAGAGGAAGAGAAGGAAGGAGAGAAAGGCGAAGGGTCTTCCGGAGTTTGAGCAACCAAATGAGGGAAGCGGTGATGTTCGTTCAGTGAACAATGGTTGGGCAGCTGGACGCCTGAATTCCACCATTGCCGGAGAAGAGAACTTTGTCTTCAGCTCAAACAGAGTTCTCAGGCAATAATAGATACTTTGTGACTCAAAACCATAGTGATGGTATTCTCACTCTGAGTCTTGGTGTTCTTCGTTCTTCTGGGCGTGGATGACAACAGAATTTGAAGATGCATCCAATGGATCGTGACATTTTGGGATTGTAATTGGTTTGATGTGTGTGAATATGTGAGGAAATGCCATGAGTTTGGCTTCTCCTCCATATATATAATTGGATTATTTGCTTGTAATGTAGGTCAAGTCCCAGAGCTCTGGGACTTAGAATCCTCCATCTTTCAATTTTAACATGTATACAATCGTATATCTGAAAGAAAAATTAATAAATTTATTAGTTATTACTTTACCCTCCTCACTCACTGTATTTATTTTTTCTGAGTATTTGAGATGCATTAACAATTTAGGATCCAATTGCCCTAAACCCCTTGAAATTCAACGTTTGGAGTTTTGAGATTTCGCAGCTTCGGCATTTGGTTTTGTGGTTTCGACGATTTTGGTTTTTGGATTTGTTGTTTGGAAGTTTTTATGACAAAGGGCATGAGCCCTGGACAGCAAAGCTATCAGTAGTATTATCGACGTGGAATCGATCAATAGTTCTTCATTGATAAAGCGTTACCATTTTACTACTAATTAACACGAAACATACAGAATATAATGCAGGTGCTTCTTTAATCTGATGTTGGATAATAAGCTGCCATAGCGATGCCACAGAGTCCTTCCTCGGCAGGCACGTCTCTCTGCAACTTCATGTACCCATTATCCCCCCAGTCTTCTCCCCAAGAATTCTTGATCATCCAATACTTTTTCCAATCTTCTTCGCCATATCCAACGATAGTCACAGCATGGGTTAAGTTTGTGCCGCATGGTCCACTGAACACACTATCCGCATAATTCTGGAAAAATTCTCCATTGTCATCAATGGCAACAGAAACTGGCTGGTTTGCAACAGCCTGCAGCAGAGCCGTCTCATTGTTTTCAGGGTCAAGCTCAAATCCTTTTACGGTTATGGCAGCATCAGTGTTGTTATAATCATCAGCCTTGCAACTTCCTCCATCTCTACCCTTGTAACCGTAATCAGCATCTGTTGCCAGGCTCCTGTTTCGCTCAATCATGTATTCGAAGGCATAACCCACCTCGCCATAATGGCAACCATCGTTCACAAGACCAACATCGCAATCAACCAGCTCTTGCTCTGATAGCGAAACTATGTTTCTTGTTTTGAGAAAGTTAAGCCCTTCTATGGCTGCTACTGCCGAGAATGCCCAGCCACACCCTACAAGTAACATCATTGAATCAGAGAAAGAACTGATGTACATGTAAACAAAAATGTAGATGATAGTCTAGTAGCGAAAATTCTTTACATTATCAGACTTTGAACTTAGATTGATTATTGGTTGAATTCACTATCCAGATTCAGATTTGGGAAATATATAAGCATCGTATGTTTTCAGACAATCAAACAAGAAAACATGTTACATGATTTATGAAAGTAAAACCTCATAGAGATAGCTTAATCTTGCATGCTTACCACATTGTCTTTGGTCTTTGACAGTGGTCACAGAGCCAAGTGAAAAATAATCCTTGGATTTTGGCACATCGGTGACATTTTCATATCCAAAATTGTTATTTGGAGCTGCTTTCACAGAGTTGGACATGATCTCCGGGAGGTGTCTCCTCTTGTAGCCTTTATGCATCGCCTCAAACTCCTCATTAGTTAGGTCTGCAAATTTATTGATGCCGAGTGTGTACTGGTTTTCGCCCTTCTTGTTAAAACCTTTTATAAACTCCACATTATTAGGCTTGAATGTGTTGTAACGCCTCTCCTTCTCTTGTGCATCCTTGTAAACACGTCCATGTCGAGCCATCCACTCCTCATGCCTCTCCAACATGGTTTTGTCGTCACCGGAAAGTTGACGACTACAAAAAGCTTGAGAGGAGCAGATGGCCAAAACGAGAACCAAAAATAAGGCGAGGGATTGGCCTTGGTTTGTGATGAGACATGAACTACAAACCCCTTTTTAAGCATTTTTTTCACGTATTTTTGCTAGGAATATCACATTTTGCAAACCACATATGAATCGCCGTGAGACCGACTTGTTTGGTTTGATTTATAAAATGTGGTCTCTCTGGCATCACTCATTTAGCTTTATACAAAGCGTGTTTTGATTAATATTTAGTTCTGTACGGCTCCATGCATTATCTTTGGGATTGAATATATAGAAAGAAACAAATCATATATTTGGCTGGGAAAACTTATGATTTCAATTGATGAACTAGAAGGAAACAAAACATACATTTGGAATAGGAATTGGTGCGACTTGGATGAGAGGTGGTGTTTAAATAGAAAAATTCTACATATAATCATATATTCGGCCTAGTATTATTGTGTAACATGTCTTAGTGAATAAGATGTTAAATTTTTATCTATGCATCTCGTGTTCAAAACTTCTCTTTCTATTAATAATAAATAAATATACGGGCAAGAGTAATATGAAAAACTAGTCACAACCATTAGTAAATAAAATTTTAGCTTTAACAAAAAATAATCAAATTGTAGCCAAGTACATGAAACCGGCCGAATCAAATCAAAACAGTCTTATTACAAGTAGTCAAGCTAATCAGACAGAAAATGGTATTCGTAGATCAGATCATCAGAGTGCTTCTGTTGTTTGTGGAGTCTGCTGGGCACCGGCCACAAGTTCTCGACATAAATTCCTCATGTGTTAAATCCACAAAGTCATTGAGGCCGGCTGTGTATCTACGGCCTTCGATTTTTTTTTAAGCTTCTATATACTCCACAGTGGATTTGAATATCTTGAAGCGCATCTCCTTCTCTTGTTCATCCTTATAAACTCGTCCATATTCCGCCATCCACCCTTCGAACCTCTCCAACATGCTTTTGCTATTGTCACCCTCGACGGAAACCACACTACTGGAGGATGCTTGGGCGGACCGGAAGGCCAAAATTAGCACAAGCAATAAGGCCAAGCAGATCGACCGGCGGTGGTTTGACATTGTTACGAACACAGCCATCTTCTCAGGAAGAAATAGTCCTATAAAATTAATTTAGGACGTTATGTGATATATATACACAAATTACTTGTACAATTCCCTTTCTTATTTGGAATTCATAATCCAAAAGAGTAACGGAAATTCCAATTGAGGTGGGGAATTAGATCTCGATGAACCAAGCGAATTTGAAGAGGAGAGAATCCTACTGTAACAACTCATCCTGATAGAAGGGAGTATTTTCATGAAATTGCATCTTGAGCTAGATCTTTTTCTTTTAAAATTTGTTTTTGGATCTTAATTGACGAGCCCAAGAGGCCCATCCCCTGTTTTGTCCCCGTTTCCCTTCCCCTTTTCCTTCTTTTTCTGATTATATATATATATATATATATATCTCCCCCTTATCTCTCCCTCTTGACAACTCTCTCCGTTCCTCTCCGATGCACCCCCACACCCACACTCAGTTACACACGCACACCCTAGGACCCTCCCAAGCAAGAACTCGAACCCAGGACAGGTCTGTGGTGCACCACAGTGGCGGAAGTTTGTACCACATGATCCAGTGTACACGCCACCAGAATAATACTTGAATTCCTCTGCGTCGATATCAATGGCAACAGAAACCGGCTGGTTCGCAACAGCCTTCAACAATGCATTTTCGTAGCCGGTTATGGTTATGGCACCAGATGTAGGAACAACACTGGTAGTTTTGCAAATTCCTCCATCTTTAGCCTGGTAAGGGTAATTATCTTCAGTTGCAAGGCTCCTGTTTCGTTTGATCATGTAGTCATACGCAACATTTGAATTACCGCCATTGCAACCGTGATCGTAACCACTCGTGTCACAGTCAACTAGCTCTTGTTCTGATAGTGAAAATAAGTTTCCTGTTTTGAGTTTGTTAAGCCCTTCTACGGTTGCCACTTATGCGAACGCCCAACAACTCCCTGTAAATATCTTTGAATTAGATATATTGTTCTCTTGTCAAACAATGTAGCTAGCATCGTAATATGCTTATGCTATCAAACACAATGAATTAAGACCATTGATTAAATTGAAAATCTAGCAATATAACAACTTACGTTGTCTAATTTAATCAGTATGAGAAAGAAAAAAAACATTAAAACATTACATCGTGTAGGTAACTAACTAGATATTGCTTAATAATGCATGCATACCACATTCATATCCTTGGTTTTTGACCGAGGTCACAGCGCCAGACCATCTCCAATCCATATAAGATGGCACATTAGGGACATTTCCATATCGAAAAGGAGATGCTATCAAAGAGTTGGACATGATCCCTGAACGTTCCTTTCTCTTGTAGCCATTGCGCATTGGCCGAATTTCCTCGTTAGTTCTGTCCGCAAACTTATTGACACTGAGTGTGTACTTTTTTCCGTCCTTGTTTTTGTTAAAAGCTTGTATAAATTCCACATTGTTCTTGAATATGTTGTAGCGCATCTCCTTTTGTGCATCATAAAGCGCGTCCATGTTGAGCCATCCACTCCTCATGCCTGACAACTGTGATTTGTTGCCGCCATAAAGTTCGCGACTACAAAATGCTTTCGAGGAGCAGAAGGCAAAAATGAGCATGAGAAATGAGGCCAAGCGGAGGGATTGGCCTTGGTTTGTGATGAGAAGAGCCATGATGGTAAGCAAGGTATCTTAGTGTGCTAAAGCATTTGCCCTAGGATGGGTATTTGCATGGGATTTTATAGACCAAAGCTTTTGCATGTCAAAAACGGACATGGGGTTCTCAAAGCGTGCAATAACTCCCTAAACGATCAAACGCGTCGGATCATACCTTCACACCAGCACAAAGCCTCGCTGCTCCACCACTGCCTTGTCGCACCGTCGGAATCTTCCAATGGGTTTGTTGGTTTTAAGTTAGTCATGATTCTGCCCACTCCAGTCAACCGCCCAGTTGAAATTAGCCAAACCTCTTTGAGTATCTAGAGGGTAGAATATGAAGAAATCAAAATCAACAAACCACTAATTCGATTGTCATTGCCGTATCGGTGTGACGGAGCGGCGGTGCCGTGGTGGAACAGCAAGGCATTGTGCTGGGGTAGCGATATGATGGTAGCTCGGACGCAAAATCTGTAAAATTCCCTCTGTGTCTTTTTGTTTTCCTTCAGTTCATTTTTTCTTCAATCCAGTATTTTTCAACTTTAATTCTTCTTTTTCAGAATTTAAAACATTTTATTTTCTTTATCTTTCTTTGTTGGAAGATCCATATCTTGTCCTACGTCATTGTAACAAAGTGATTTCAATTTGGCATAATTGTAAGACACGAAAGTTATATTGTGGGAGATTCATAAGAAGTTTCTTCCGCTTAAGATATTCATCCTGCACGATCAAAGAAGAGATTAGAGAAAGCATGCATGAAGTTGTTGGGTCAAACTATTAATTCCACTAAAGCCTGCGCCCAAGTCTCAATCTTTCTAAGGTCACATGAAAAATCTAGTCTCCACGTTACAATCTTTCTGAAACTAAATGGTCCTGCACAAAAAATACAGAAGAATGCTTAATTATAAGAGCATAAATGCTACGAGTTTAATACTTTAGATTGGTTTTTCAAAAAAAAATTGATAAACAAGGTTGCAGGTATAACAAAAATGGAAGTAAATTTAAGCAATACCCTCCATCTTGATCTCAAAACTTGGGTGTGTGGATGATGTCGCATGCCACTTCGTTCATATAAACTATAACCCTAAACCCAAACCCCACCTCACAAAGACCACAACCACATCTTCCTCACCCCACCTTAACCTCCTCATTTCAACTGATTGAAACATTTCCGCTGCTAAGTCTAACGCGGTTGATGTAGAGAGCATGCCTGACCCGTTCACCATTCACTAGGAAGATACTTTAAATCTTTCTGATACCCGCCATGGCAATAGCTTGGCTGGGTTTCTCATTGCAAAAGCGGACCAGTAGCCAGTGGAGCCAAGAATGCCCTCAGACGGAAGTTGACATGCAACAATGTTAAAATAGCCTGACAGGGCCATGCCGAATTAATATGTCATAACCGTAGCCTCTGAGGTTGTTGCAAAGAAATTGATTGAAAATGGTCCATGGTTGGTTCATGACGACATTTTCTCCGTCCAACTATGGTTGTTGCACTGTATATGCCGTGCTGGACGTCCTTCTGGGTGCAGGTCCATGGTATCTCGCTAGGGTGGATAACGGTAATGAATGCAAGCGTCATTGTGGAGCAGATTTGCAGAATATCATTGATTCGTAACATGACTCTCCACGTTGCGGATCATTTATACAAGGAATGCCGGAATGGTTTAGAAGTGGAGTATTATTGTAGGTTAATTTACATGTGAATGCATATTATGTTGGTTATGAGCTTTGTTTATTTTTTCACTCATTAAATCATTTTTTTTTTTTATTCATTCTTTAAAAAAACAAATAGAAAGATTCGTTTCTTTTTTTTTAATATTAATATTTTTCTGCGGTTGTGGACGACGGAAAATAGTTGTTTATAATAGATTTTATTTATTTTTAAATGTTTCTGTCGGTTAGAACCAACAGGAACATGATGTCAATCCGACCGTATTTTTAATTTCCTAGCAATTACGAACGACATTAATTGATAATATCCGGTAGTAGTTAAGTATTTATTGTCGCATATATCCGACACAAGTTCTGTCGGTTTTAGAGCCCTAACCGACAAAAAATTCATTTCCTGACGCTGGCAATTCTATCGCTTATTATATCCGCCACTGAATCAATTTTCTGTCCGATTTTGCTTAATATCATACAGTAATATACGTTTCTTGTCGGTTATCATAACGACACTAATAAATGATTTCGTAGTAGTGGAAGACCCTATTGCCAGGTACAAGACTAATAAGCCATTACTGATTGGCTTCCGACTCCCACTCAAGGATGGTTTGAAGTCCTTGATAAGGCCCAGGTATGAAGGTTAAAAACGCTTCTGTTTCAGATGTGGTAGACGGGGGATGGTTCGAGAAGGATTACCATACGGGACTATCCTTGCCACTGATTCCATCAAAGATCCGACTCCTCTGTTTCCAGCAAAGCCAATGAAGAAGCCAAGAGTTCAACTTATGCAGTGTGTTTAGAGAAGGGTCCACGGTAAGTGAGGATTCTTGTTTCGATGTGATGACTTCATCGTCCTCCAAATAAAGGCCGCACTTGTCGAGCTCCACGTGTTGGTCGACATTCATCATGGCAATCCTAGTTGTTGATTTTTTTTTGTTGGGAAAGTGATTTCTACATATTTTTTCTCTAACACACGTCCCTAATTATTTAGGGAACTTTAACGAAAAGTTCTCGGTATTGTTTTATTTAACGAAAAACCACATTTTTACACTAAAAAATCAATCCTAATACTATTCATTTTACGCTTTATTTTGTCCTTATCGTTAAAACTCAAAGTTTTCAAATCATTTTCATTGGTTTTCCTAATTATTTATGGCAATTGAATTGAGTGAAACAAAGAGAATCAACGGTGCTTGAAAATCATATCCCCTTGTGTTTCATTATTTGTTTGAAACCCTAGACAGTCACAAAAAGATAGACATAAAAGTTGGACGACATCTTCAGTTTTGGATATATATTATTGTAGTAAGCATACAGAGATCGAAGGTTGATGGTCGATTAAAAATCTTAACGAGTACAATGGCCCTACTTTTCCAATGGAGAAAACAACTTTGCTGAGAAATTTCAAAAAAACAATTACAACGAAATCTTTCAATTTCTTATTTACTATGTTCAACTTTGTATTCCTCTATCCATCCATGCAGTGAAAAATAAGGGTGGGCCCGGGCCGGTTCGGGTCGGGTACATGGGTCCTCTGTTTTTTTTTTTTCCCACCCAAACCCTTTGTTGCCAGCATTGCAGTCTGATTCCCTTGCTTGTCGACTTTTGAGTAAGATGACGACGACGGCAGTGACGATGATGATGGATGATCGGACCGCGATGATGGGGACGACGCTGAGTTTTGAACCGGCAAAGACACCACCCAACACCTGCTCGCCATTCAATCCACCATCATAGAAACCCCTAAATTAGTAACCCTAGGCCCTAAAACAACACAATAGATGACACGCCCCAACCTCGAAATCACAACACATCAAGAACCCAGAAAATCTTAGATAGAAAAGAGGTAGCCTCACCTGAGTTCTAAGTAGAGCTTAAAGATCTTGGACTCCATGGAAGAACACCTCCAAGTGCTCCAATGGTGCATGCAAAACCACCATATAATTCCTTGTGTCCCATAAGTCTCAAAAGTAGAAGTTTGGGGGTTTGATTTGGACAAAAATGGCGTGGGTAATGGTGGTCTCCTTCTCGAAGCTTAGAGAAAGAGTTAAAATGTTACAAAGAGAAAGTGAGGCTGCTTGCAGACATGAAGGAAAAAGGGTGTGGGTCATGAGTGAGGGAAAGTTGCAAACATGAGGGAAAAATGGTGTTGGTCACGGGTGAGGGAAAGTAACTTGACTTTGGGCCGAGTGAACAAACTACTAATAGTGAGAATAGGGAGAAACGGGCCCAGCCGAGGTCCCGTTTTCTCAGGCCTTTGCACCCGCCCCGCCCCGCCCCGATAATTTTGTGAACCCGCCCCAGCCCGCCCTGTTTTGTCTTTACAAATTTAAGACCCGCCCCAAACCGCATAGAACCGGCTCACTCCACAGGCCTAGGGCCCGTTTGCCCACCCCTAGTGAAAAGTACCGTATGAATTTGATTCATTATTTTACCACAATATATATGTATTTTTGGTCCATTAATGTGAATCGACCACAACATTGAATAGCTATTCATTATTCCTCTATCCATCCATGTAGTGAAAAGTACCGTATGAATTTGATCCATCAACGAGTACAAGGTTGATGGTAAGATCTTGTTGGTTGACACCACAAACAATATGAAATATGTATGAGAGGTTACAAAATGAAATTTGAACGGGCGATCAAAACTTTTCAGCCCAATTTCATGAAGTTGTTAAGTTAGTTAGCTCCGTGTTATTCAACTAAAAAGATCGAACCGATCAAACCCAACTAAAGAGACGGGTTAGGTCGAACAGGAAAGGGATCTGGACTGGACCATGACTAATTAGCTAACTGGATTGGGTCGGAGAAGATAGGAACTGGTAGGCTAACTGGAATGGGTCGGACCGGACATGAACTGGTAGGCCAACTAGATTTGGTCGAGTCGGACCATAACTGGATCTGGTCAGGTCAAACCAAAACTGTTAAGCCAACTGGATCGGGTCAGATAAGACCAGAATGGTAAGCCACCTAGACTAAGTCGAGTCGAGCCGGAATTGGTTAACCACTTAGAACAAGTCGAGCCGAACCAGATTGGGCAGTCGAATTAGGTCAAGCCCAATCGGATCTGATTAGACGGACGAACCAAGTCAAACAGGACCGGGTCGAGCCGATCGAATCGAGACAACCAGACGCACAAAGCTGGTCGAACCAAACAAAAAGGGTTAGACCAGACAAAGCATATCAGACCGGCCAAATTGGGTGAGACCAGACCAGGTCGGACAAGAATATGCATTCCAAAATTATACATATACTAAAACTTAACATAAAAAGATCGAACAGGAATGTGCCCTCTAATTCTTTTGTTATCAGCTATTTTTTCCCTTTTCACATGGCAAAAAGATCGTTTTGACCTCCCTAGCCTACGAGTCATCATCGCTTCACCTCATTCGACAAAACACTATTTGCCTGTATTTTGAATATGTACTAACATGTATGTTTTTATGAATATAAGGGAATTTTTTTTTTTTTATGAAGACTATGATAGAATGCCACTTATTTGTAACATGACTCTCCAGGTTGCGAATCATTCATACAAGGAATACCGGAATGATTTAAAAGCGAAGTATTATTGTAGGTTAATTTATATTTGAATGCATTATTTTTCTTGATGAAGATTATGACAAAATGCCACTGATTCATAACATGACTTTCCAGGTTGCCAGGTTGCGGATCATTCATACAAAGAATACTAGAATTGTTTAAAAACAAAGTATTACTGTAGGTTAATTTATATTTAAATACATATCATGTTTGTTATGCATTCAAATATAAATTAATATACTGCTCTACTTTTGAACCATTCTGGTATTCCTTGTATAAATGATATCAACCTTATGTTACGAATCAGTGGCATTCTATCATAGTATTTATCAAGAAAAATAATGTATTCAAATATAAATTAACCTACAACAATACTTCGCTTTTAAACCATTCTAGTATTCCTTGTATAAATAATGTAACTTGAAGAGTTATGTTACGAATCAGTAGCATTATGTTATAGTCTTCATCAAAAAAACAAATTATTCCCCCATATTCATAATACCAATCCGAAATACATGTAAAAAGTGTTTTGTCGAATGAGAAAATGAAGTGATGATAACTCGTAGGCTGGAGGTCAAAACGATTTTTTTGCTATGTGAAAAGTGAAAAACAGCTAATAACAAAAAAAAATTAGAGGGCACCTTAGTCCATTCACTGTTAATGAACCGTGATTTTGTGGCAAGTTTTAGTATATGTATAATTTTGAAACAAACATTCCTATCCGACCCTGTTTGACCTGTTTCACCCAGTTCGGTCAATCCAACCTGGTCCGGTCTTTAGAAAGTATTGTGGTTTTTTTTCCTTGATTGGTTTTTGAATCTACCATTAATTAGCAATACATGTGTCTCCATCAACATCCTGTGCATCTCATTCCTCTCCTCAACAACACGGTCCCAATCATTGCTGTCAACCACGACAATTAACCCTTGGGGTATTTTGGAAACAGCGTCGCCATAAGGTCGAATCTGTCCCAATAAAAACATAATGCACATGTGAGAGGCCATAATATTCAAGAGTGATACAAGAAGGCAGATCTAACATGTGTTTAAAGTCATGAAAACTCTGACAAAGCAAGGAAAGCAGTTGGCATATACCATGAGGAAAAAAACTAAAACAGTTGACACAAGTGAATGTAGCTTATGATAATATTATGTGCTGATGGGAAACAGTCAGCACAAGACCAACAATAAGCAAATGCAAGAAGATCTGATATATCTTAATGTATTGAATCAACAAAACACATGCTTTAAGTATATAGTAGACGTCCGCCACAGGACAAGTTGGCGCAGGTAAATGCCGCTTATGATTATATGAAGTGCTGATGGAGAACTAATCAGCACAAGATCGTCAATAAGCACACAAATCTATAATAAAAAGTATGTTCACCGCAGCACGGATATTCTCATGTATAGTCAAAGGGGAACCGTGGATAACACGGGTACAAGTAGCTCAAACTACCACCCTAGTAATGAAACATTTAATCAACAAAAGACAGTACTTGAGTAATGTGAAATGTTCACCACCGAGAGGATAGCTTTTCCTTGAAGTAATAGTGGAAAAACTTGAAAGACAAAAGGTGGCAACAATAACTGTAGCTTATGAATTTGTTGTGTGCTAACGGAGGAAAATCTAATCAGCACAAGACCGTCCATAAGCACTTTAAAAACTAACATAACATTAAGGAAACAAGTGTATATGTGATAACTACAAGTTACCACACGCATATTGCATTCGTATTAACATTCATTGAAGAAAAGATCACCCAGAGACATGTTTGATATTCAATTGGATTTCAATACCACAACACACCAAATGCGTCAAAGATTTTAGATCACGATAAGAATTATACCTCATGTTAATGATGACACAAACCCAACATCCCAAACCGAAAAGCTAATGTTCTCGTATTACACAGTTCCACCATTGAATCCTTAAACCAAAACACAGTTGCTACCTGTTAAAACCCAAAAAGTAAACAAAAATAGTCGCAAATTAGTCATGTTAAATAAAAATTGAAACTGCAACAGATATCAGATCATCTAACATTAAGCCACAAACTTTCAACTTGGATTTGAAATCGAATTACAAGATTTTTCCTGAAGATCTGAAACTTCATCAAAATCCAAATGTACCAAAAAACAAATACAAATCCGTTGCCTGACCTAAACTCTCCTAAAAATCTGAAATTTCATCCAAATCCAAACAAGCACAGCAATGATAAATCTAGCGCTAAATCTGAAAGCTACTAATCAAATTAAAATTAAAAACCACCCTGACCTAAAATTTAAAATCGAAATAAAACCAGACGAATATCCAAATCGAAAACCAGTTCCAGATTATCATAAAGCCGGGATTATCATACATCATCGATGCAGAAATATAATGAAAATAATAAATATAGAGAAACAACGAAAAATCCATACCAGAAAACAAACGGAAATCGAAGAGGAAATGATTGAAAGAAAATCGCGGTGGGTTTTCAGGGAAGATGAGAAGGAGAGCAATGCGACGCCAACGAACTGGAGAGAAAAGAGTAGGGTTTCAGCCTTTATATATAGAAAGAAAATCATGGTTTTTCTAATTTCCGATTGTACCCTGGAGATTGGTTGAATTACAAATTTGAATTGGGCTGTTCACTACAACTGGGCTCGTAATCAGAAGCCCATTCTTATATTTTTGACTGAGCGAATATTATAAGCTCATCCAAAACAGTCAATTTTCTAATTATTTTTTGAAATTGTTATTGGTACTCTAAAAATTTTATTTGGCACTTCAAACTTTTTATAATTAGAAAGATAAATACAACTCGTGAGGAATGTAGAATGAGATTTTTTAAGTAGTAATAACAGTTTCCTTATTTTTTATGACGTTTGTTTTTAACTTCGTCAATTCTTCACCAATAAGAAAATAAATACTTTCAAACCTTCTCAAAATAAGTTTCACAAGATTTGTACGGAAAAATAACAGCACAGAACAATATTGTTTTTCATTAATTGGCTAACCAAGAGAGTTAAGAATTGTACTTCTTTCGTGTTATCTGTAATTAGTAGCCAGAGCCAGTAACTATTCTCGAAAGTCAAACGTATGAAAAATGAAGCTTGTTGATGTGTGTGTACATGTATAATGTGACACCTTTCGATTTTCATGCACAGCAACAATGGCACCATCCTTTTTCAAGCGGACTATCTTCAAGAACACCGACTCTAAGAACGATGATGTTTTCTTTTTAAATGTCAATATAATAGCACCCTTGTGATATTTGTTTCTCATGTTCTGATATTCCATGCATTAATAATTAGGCTGTAGAGAGAGTTAAGGCAGTAGTGTCCCCGTACGTTTTCATTCATTTGGAATTTGGGCTTTCGTTTTAAGGAAAACTAATGAAAAGAGTTTGAAAACTTTGAGTTTTAAAGATAATGACAAAATAAAGGGTAAAGTGAATAATACCAGGATTGACTTTTTGGTGTAAATATGTGGTTTTTCGCTAAAGTTAACAGTATTAAGAACTTTTCGTTAAAGTTCCCTTTGTTTTATTAGATTTTTTCGAATTCTTTATTCAATTTAGACATAAAATAAAATGAAATGTGAAATTCTTGAGTAGTCTACTTCCCTTTGAATGATGAACTCTTTTTATGCATTTATGAACTCCACGGAACTTTCTCAATTTGAACGCAACTTATTCTTTTTTGAGCTGACGTAACAGCAACAAATTTGTTTTGAGAAGTCCAAGATATTTTGCTCTCCTAATATTGGTGAAATTGAAGAACATGGCCATGGCTGGTTTCTATTAGAAATATAGAACTACTGCTTAATATATAGTTCAATCGAAACATAAATTATGATTGACATGACATGAAATTAGGGTTTATTAATGTTGATTACAGAAACTTCCAAATGCATGCATGGATTGATGATCAACGTTTTAAATATATATTATGCTGATGGGACTCTTCATGGACTGGATGGAAATGAAATGGTAGCATAGAGATTCAATGTAACAGATTGTGAACGTTGGGATCTGCTGTTGTGATCTGTTTGTCTTGATCGATCGATCTCCTCTCTATCCCATAACGTCACGGATGCTTTTCGGATGCACTTGCTGCAGCTCCAAGTCGCTTTTCTCATAAGCCTTGGCCTCATCTGTCGTCTTTGTCATGCCTGTTGCTTTTGTTGGCTTCTCATCCTTCGTCTCCTTATTCTTTCCCCAAAGAACAAGATAGAGCCCGGCAACAATCAAAACTGACCCTACAGCACTGAGTCAAGTACAATATGAACCAAGCTAATTAGTATTTAATTTTCATGGGAGATCATCCAAGTGAATTAATTAATAAGAAATTTGGTTAGGTCATTGCGAAAAAATGAAACCGAAACTGTATGTATACGTACGTTCCAACGTATAATTTCTCATCGAGCAAAGCCCAGCTTGCAATGGCAACAATGATGAGGAGCAAGGGACTAAACACCGACACGTAAAGAGGGCCTTTTCGCTGAATACTCCATGAAGAGAGGAAGAATGCTAGTGCAGAACCCATAATTCCCTGTAATTAGTTATTATGCTCATGAGTCACTATAAATTAGCTAATCTAATGATTAATAATTGAAGAATAATTTTAAGCAAGAGTAAGAGCTAGTGCATACAGCAAAGAGGGATGCAACAAGCCTAATGGGATCTTTTAGAGACCATGAAACCGCTTTGTGATCAGCAATTACAGCAATGATCCCACACTCAAAGCTGGCCATCAAACACATCAGTGTGGTGCTTGTATAAGGAGCTGGAAAGCTTTCCCCCACTCTAGCCTGAAATTATATCGGAGGAGGACGGGAGCAACTATTATTCAAGTTCAACAACGATAAAACAACTCCCAATATATATTAGCGTCTGTAGCTATAATTTAGCCAAAGAAAAACTGTAGCACTAATTTTAGAGTTCATTTTTGCTCGTCACCCGTAATGGTGGCGAAGCTTATCACAACATTGATTGTCATCAGACGAGTACATATCATTCCTATTACTTTACACACCGAACCTAATAAAAACATGAAAATGAAAGGGTAATGATGATCGGTTACTTACTTGGATTATGAACCAGAATGCCCAACCTAAGGTGCTTAAGATGACAAAAAGGGGGCCAATAAAGGAGCTTGATTTGGTGCTGGAACTTGCTTCTCCCATTCTCTGCGCATATGTCCAGTGAATTTTGGAGTCACCTAGACCAATGATGTGTCCATGGTAAAATGAAAGTAACATAGCTCCAGATACACACACAATTGTTCCCATCGCCTTAGATAGCCCTGCTTTGCTCTTGAGCTTTGCAGATTCTTGTCTGCAAAATTAAATTAAACGTTCCATTAGTGTTAAACATAATTAATTAACTAATTAAGCGCAAAAATAACATATTTATTAGTACGATGTAATACTATATAGTACCTGAAAATGACTGCAAGGATAAATGTCATGGCTGGAAGTGTGTTTTGCAATGCGCATGCAATCGTTGCGGTCGAAGTCTTTAAACCGAGAAAATAAAAAACCTGATTTGCAGTGGCCCTGCATTTTAAATTCGCGTAATTATAATTAATTTAGTGAATTAATTGGTTTCCAATGATGCTCATGATAAATTTGTTATTAAATTAAGAACAAATTAACACACTTACCCAGTTAATGAGCACAGAAAAGTCTGGAAAAGAATGGGCAACGTGATCTTCGGTCTTGTTTTCCTATTAGAAAGATAGAACGAACATAAAAAAGACATGATGTGTAAAGGAACTTTCTCTAAATTGTTATGCGAAAATTAAAGAAACTGGTATTAATTAATAATTATCATATCCTTCTTTTTCTCTTTTTATATTATTGTTAGGAAAATACTTTCACGCCACCTTGTTCACTATTTTGCAACCAACTTATTTCATAATCGAAATCATTTATTTTTTCAATATCAATCTACGGATTCTCTCTATATAGAAAGTACCAATCAAATTGAAAATTATTTAGTGATTTATATGCAGAGCATATAGAACTTGTTGGCACCAAGTAACATTCACTTATTTGATATATTTTTTATGATGTAAAGATGAACTTAAATGATGACTAAGAACATAAACGAGTCTCACTATAAAATAATAAATTTTGCATAGTAAAAATACATTAAGCCTTAGGTGGATGCTTAATTAAGCCTTAGGTGGATATGTGTTGCATCAATGCACCCCATAGGTGGATGCTTAATTAAGCCTTAATCCTACTGATTTACCAGCTGTATATATGAAATAAGATTATTAATAAAATCATGCAGCCATGAGAGGTCGGGACAAAGCTAATACGTAACGATGGTCTAGAGCTAGGCTGAGAAGAAGGAAAGGACAAATGGTTAAGCATGACATGGCGACCATGCATGCAAGGGTGCTGCCACCTTGAGCCAGTTACGAGTGGCACGTTAAATTAAGCCCCCAAAGGGCCAAAAGAGACAGACTGGAAAATAAGTTGACACACTTTCCATGCATGGCTTTGGCTGGCTTTTTGTGTTTATTGCGTGCCTAGATCAACTGCAAAACCAGACCTAGCTAATTAAATTCGTTCACCAGAGTTTTTCAATTTTCGGATTTTCCAAGAACCATTTTTAATTAAAAAGTCAAGTGCTTTAACTAACGAAATCAAAGCGAGAGTTGGAGAAAAAGTAGGGAAAGAAGGAAAAGAAAGGCTTAGAGCATCTCAAATATTGAACACCAAATTACGATTTGATGATTCACATGGCAGTTTGACATCATGTTAAAATTTCATCTTCAATCGATGTGTTTAATATATTATTTTGTAGGGTAATACTAAGGAGGCTAAATTTATAGACGACAAAATTTAAAAACTAAATGATATGTCATTAATACACTATATTACTTTTTCAAGTCATAGTAAAAGCTAAAAGAAATATAAATAGCTTCTCTTATACCAAATTTAATGCAAGGCCAGTCAAAAGTTATAAAAATAAAAAATAAATAATTATTTGGAATATGAATTTTGAGGCGGCATTTTTGACGTCAACCACCAAGCCTATCTACATCAGCTTTTGGTTGATCGGTTGGGATGAAATGAGATGCTATTTTTTACCGTTACATGTCCACTTGGCAATTTGAAGCATCGGTATAGATACCCTTAGTCACTTTTAACATTTTTTTTAGCCTAATTAAGCTAAAATCCTTAAATAATTAAATCAATCCTCATGTGTGCAGAGAAAGTATCAAAATATTTTAGTTTAAAGTACAAATGACAATTAAACAATGAGTGCAAAAATCACTACTGGAACGGAAAAAACAAATTCTATATGATCATTCAAAAAACTAAATTTCTATTTGTTAATAGCAAAAGGTAAAAGAAGATAAAAATCTGATTGAAATGAAGAACAAAACAAACATGCGGTCTTTATATATATATATAATTTATGATGTTTAAAATCCAGGCCAAGACTTATTATATATACTGAAAATTTGAGACCATTTGACTCAAATAAACTAAGTAACTTACATGCAGGGAGACAAAAATTCGATTAAAACTTGAGTTCAACAGAAGGAAAACATTCGACCACAACAAACATGCAGTCTTTATATATATAATTTATGATGTTTAAAATCCAGGCCAAGACTTATTATATATACTGACATTGGTGCATGAAATCAAACTCAAACCCTAAGAGAATTTAGTGACATGCAACAAGACTAACAGATGCGCACTTTACCATTCCATCAAATAAGCAAGGGGAGCAATGACTGCGGTGGCGAAAACTTGACGATAAGCAACAAGAACAAGAGGGTCCATGTCAGATTCAATAGCAAGCTTTGAAATAATGTTCATTCCTGCATAGCTCGCTTGGACCAAAACCATGGCCATGAATGGCATGTATTCGCTATAGCCAGCCATTTCTGCAGAACCCTAGCTACTTGTAACTTGTACTACAGAGAGAAGGAGAAACCGAGAGAGGGAGAGAGAGAGCTTTCCCTCGTACCGTCGAGGGTTTTCCGAAGAAAATAAGACAGAGAGAGAGAGAGAGAGAGAGAGGGAGGCCAAAGTATTGAAGAGCGTAATTAATGAGAGAGATCGGAGAATGAGAAATGTGGAGGTCACTATATAGAGCTAGGGAAAAGAAGCTAAACAGAAAGTAGAAGAGAGTTTTGCGTGGAAATAAGAGAGAGAAACCGTTAAAGATTGATTTCTTGTAACACTTGGGCTTGTGCATGGCTACATATCTAAATGTGACTGCCACTACCACATAAAGACGCTTTCAGTTTTGTCTTTTGAGCAATTATTCGGTAAACGTCACCCAAAATTGAGGTTGGTATAGGCGTAGCGATTTCAAAGTACCCATTGGAAGTTCCTATGTCACGATTTCCTTAGCCTTGGCATTCGAATTCCTATATCAGTTTTCCTCTTTCCAATACTGCTGAATTTGTTCAAATGTTATGTGAAAGTACCTGTTGTAACTTTCCAATGTCGTGATTCTGATGAAAGAAGTTGTTTTCCTGGAAACAATTAATGAATTTTTTTTTAGGAAAACTAATGAAAAAGGCTTGAAAACTTTAAGTTTTAATGATAAGGACAAAATAAAAGGTAAAATGAATAGTACCATGATTGACTTTTTAGTGTAAAAATGTGGTTTTTCGTTAAAGTGAATAGTACCGGGTGCTTTTCGTTAAAGTTCCCTTCTTTTTTTTATGTGGGATTGATACTCTCAACACACATCTTCACGTGTGGAGAATTTTCAAGTTTAGTACTATTCTAAAAATCCTTGCCTAGGCGCTAGGAGGCTGGTCACCGCCCCGATTAATGCCTAAACGTTTGAAAATTAAGAAATGGCGCCTAGACCTGCTGAGGTGCCCACCTAGACCGCTTAGGCACCCGCTTAGCATGCCCAGACCCGCCTAGGTTGTGACTCACTTATATAGAAAATAGTTAACTTTCATTTTGCAATTTATTTTTTTCAATAAATTATAAGAGACTTCCTGAATACTTAAATGAACACACATTATATTCTTATTCTCCATGTTTTCATTATGTTCCAATACTTCATAATATATATAAGTCTTTCTATTTTGTAGTTTATGATAAAATTATATATATTTAAAGTATAAACAGACACTTATTTTTAACAAAATATAATGGATTTACTTAAGTCAGCCTAGGCGCCCGCCTAGACCCCGCCCAACCGGCTAAGCACTAGGCCCGCCGCCTACCGCCCGACTAGCGCCTAGCATCTTTTAGAAGCTAGTATGGACAACTTGTGGTTGTTGGGCTTTACACATGAGAAAGAATTCTGATTTCATGAAAAAAAAGTTAAGGTTTCATCATAAAACCAACTGACATTATAGAGATTATGCCAACTGCTTATAAGCACATGCAAAATTCCTCATTTCTCCGATGAAAGATTGATACTCAACAATTTAAATAAGGGAAATTTAACGAAAAGTACCTGGTACTGTTCACTTTAACGAAAAACCACATTTTTACACTAAAAAGTCAATCATGGTACTATTCACTTTACCCTTTATTTTGTCCTTATCATTAAAACTCAAAGTTTTCAAGACGTTTTCATTAGTTTTCCTTTTAAATAACGCATTTGCTCTAGTTCTTGAATTCGGTTCTCTCCTCCCGTGTCGGATGTCTATGTATTAAAATGTTAGGTAATTTAGTAATATCGAAGAACTACGAAGTGTCTTCTTATTCAGCCATCTAGCCAATGCTTGCGGTTTAGTACCTCTGTCACCAACCACGAAGATCACATTCACATTCTGACATCAACCACAAAGAATGCATGTATTAACTTTACTTCAAAAGGCATAACCGGTATTAATATACGTATCCACCAAACTTGAACATGTGTTAGCTATAACTGCAAATAGCACATTACTTTCCTACACTGCATAGGGCCTCACCACTCATTATATAAGAGTCCTTATCAATTTAACATCAATCTCTAACGTTTGGACGGAGATTCACCAACAAGAAAAACATCAACCTACATAACGTTTGAATGGACACTGTTTTTAGTAGTGTTTTGTTTGAATTAATACATGACACATTTACACTAAGAGATAATGGATTGAACTAACCCACACTATGAGATAGCATGTTTATTTGGTACGTATCAAACTCTTATCCACAAGATTCGAACAACTAAAACATTTTACTTACAAATGATGAGTAATCCATTAAACTATATAATATATCAGATGCGGCATTGAGGGGGAGTGAAAGGTGCAATGGCACAGGGCCCCCAAATTTAAAGGGCCCCAAAAAAATTTTGGTATCTTATATTTATATGTAATAATGTTATATATTAAAAAAACTTTTATTAGCACTTTAAAATCTTATCGTGCACTTTTATTAATTTTTTTTCTTTCTAAATATAAAAATTTGGAGTGCACAATGAGATATTAGGAGTGCCAACAATAACAACACCTCAAAAAACAATTTTCTTTTCAATTTTATTATATAATAATGCTATATATTCAAGTGAAACTTTAAAGTTAGAATTTTTGAAGCTTTTTTTTTCTTTATTTGGTTGCTTAAGATTGAACTGTTTTTTATTATTTAGTGAAGATTATGTTTGTAACTATTTTTACTTATTTAATGACACTTGTAAACTTACTTACAATCAATGAGTCCTAAAGGTTGTTTTTATTTAAGTTATTATTTTCTAGTACCAATATATTGTCCTACTTTTAAAAATTTATAAAAAAAAATCTTAAAAGGGGACCCTTTTATAAATGTCGCACAGGGCCCCTGAAATCCAGAGACGACTCTGTAATATATACTAAGTGACGATGAAGATTCAAACTTAAGATCGCTTGTTAACTCCTTACAAAGAAGTACATAACCATTAGGGTATGCCTGATGTTTTGGGAACCCCTGTGAATAAATAATAAAATGAATCCCTTAATAGCCCTTACTAGAGTATGATGGTATTATAACCTAAGGAAGTTATCACATAATGATATTGTGAAGAGAGAGATCACTAAATTGTAGTGATCTCTAACGTTTGGACGGAGATTCACCAACAAGAAAAACATCAACCTACATAACGTTTGAATGGACACTGTTTTTGGTAGTGTTTTGTTTGAATTAATACATGACATATTTACACTAAGAGAGAATGGATTTGAACTAAATCACACAATGAGTTGGTCATGTATATTTGGTACGTATCAAACTCTTATCCACAAGAGTAGAATGCCTAAAACCTTTTTATTTACAAGTGAAGAAGAATCCATTAAACTGTATAAGATATACTAAGTGGCGGTGGAGATTCAAATTTAAGATCGCTTAGTAACTCTTTGCAAAGAAGTACATAACCATTAGGGTCATGCTTGATGTTGGAGGTTAGGATTAGGCCAAGTTACATAATAAACTAGTCATAATTAAGTATCGAACTTATCATTCACGTAAATCAAACATAAGATCTCATACTTAAAAATAGAAAGAAAACACCTATAAATTATAGTGCGAATAACGTTATATGGTTACGCCATCCAAATTTGGACCTCGGCCCTCATATAATATATGTTGGGCTCAAATATAAGTAGGCCACAAAACTCAAATAGGCCATGAGATAAGCATGACCTTAAACACAAAGGGATCAACGACCACAAACAACATGTTACCAAATGAACGTTGACCGTAATCCGCATGAAATCTCGTACGCCATGCTTAAATTGCGGACGTCTTTATATAACATTGTGTTGTTTTAGCGACTTAGATTTGAAATGGATTCTATGTGTGTGAGTCAGTGACTCGTTTGAGACCGAACACGGTTGAATAATTGTTATATGAAGAAATGAAAGAAGGAATAAAAAAAGATGACTCTCAATCTTTGCTAGAGAGTGGAAGAATTAACCAAAGGAAAGATAAAGGAGTTTTTGAGGAGGGTGCTTTTGGTCGTCCTCCTCCTACAGCTTTTAACCTAGCTTTCCATCAACAAAACCCAGAGAGAAATGCAGCTGCAAACCATGGAATCTCTACACCTGAAAAGAAGGTATTCCTTTTCACTTTGGATATTTTTCTTTTATTTTGTTTCAAATGTATGATCTTTTTTGGTGTTGCTAGTGACCTTCAACATTGAATCTCATTTAATTTTCGGCAATCTCAATGTACAATCAATTTAAATGGAAGAATTTGTTAGGCTGGATCATTACAGAGAAATATCAGTATTGGAATGGTCTAAATTCATGTAATTTAGTATTTATTTAATTTACCGATTACAAGATCTTGCATCTTTCTATATTCTCTCGAAAATAACTCCCCACTAAGAATCTTTTTTTTGTTGGATCGTATTATCATTATAACAAATTCTTTGAGAATTTTTATGAAATATTTTCAAATTCCATTAGTTTAATCAAACATCAATGAAACATGAACAAAGGATTAGAACAAATTATATAGCATTCGAAGAGCTCGTTTGGCTACCGTCGGCACATAGGTTGACCAAGTTGGTTTTGTACTCCGAGCATTTTTTTTTTTTTTGGCTTGAAGAACTCTCGAATCATATCCGTGATGTTTTATTTGAAGATCGTACTTCTTAATTATCAATAAATCACGATAATTTTTTTTTCCAAAAAATAAACTCCTTTGGTGAATTGGTGTGGTTTGCCTTAAACTTGGCTATGTCAATTAGATTGATCTGACTGATGTTTTATAAATTATAAATACTAAGACTAGAAAAATTAAATTCGACAAGTTCAACATATGGCTAGCACCAAATCTTTTATGTACAGCCTCAAATAAGCAGATTTTTTTCTGCGTTCGTTTTTTCATGGTGAAAAATTACAATTTTGTTTAGGAGAGGGGGTTTGAACAATGAGTGTTATATTTATGTAGGCCAGAGAGCAAAGGTGTCGGTGCATTAAAAAAGAACCATGTTTGAATCTTCCTATATAATGCCTACTTACCTGAAATCAGTCTTGCACACCCATACATTTGGAACCACAACAAGGACAAGTTTATGAAAATATATGACATGAAATTAATTTTTACGCACTACTTTATATATATATATATATATATATATTTATATATATACATATCTGTTTAT